CTACTGTAGAAACATGGTGGACTTACATCGGTGACCCACGGTGTCAAATCAGCTCATTCTAAGGTAACAAAAACATTTTCACGATTCTCATTTTGGACCTTTAAAAGGTTGGTAAATGTTTTATGAGGAAGTAAATACATTCATCAGCTTTCATAGACCTCAGTGATACACACTGCATTTCGGTGACAGACACTGAAAGTAAACATAACTTTTCTCCACAGGGCACCTTCAACCTTTGCTGACAATGCCAGTGATGTCAACAAACAAAACTAAAAATGTACCTTCTAAGTTTCTGTGTGGCTTCATATGTGCACATTATGCATATTACTAACAGTCCAACAGGAAGAACTGTGTGACAAGTGGGCTAGTCTGTCCTCAGGTCATTGCAAAAATGTAACTGAAGTTGAACAACAGGTTTTCAGTGGAGTAACTGACTCTCTTTAACTAATGTACATTACAGAGCCTGCCCCACAATAACTGTTTTACAAATTTTAGGTAAATTTGACGAAGGTTGACTATTTAAGTCTATTATACTAATGTGTATATACACTACTACTACTACTACCTTAAGCTCCAGGAAAATATATTACATGCTTTCAGATGTTGTAAATACTGTTCAGCAGGAGGAGGAAGGCTCATCTGTGATGATGACTGTTTTTGCATTAATTTCAATACAAACCGAGTCTTAAAATGACCACAAAACGCAAAACTATAACTGTGATAGAGTCAGCGGAGAGACAGTTTTTGGTGCGGTGTCATCGTTGAAATTCACTGGTATTGGTATCGACTACTACATTTCTGGTATCGTGAGACCCCTAGTCAACACCATTCCAACATTCAAAATGAAATTTAGATGAATATTATATGGCTGTTCCTTCAGCTTAAAATAACTCCCCACAGCTGACATGATGACAGAGCTGCTGACAGTCCTCAGCCATGTTCTAGATACATTTCACGTGACACATGCTACTCATCTGTGTTTTTTCTCTTTACACTTAGTTAGGCATTTACGTGATATTTAGACAAATGGATCATATTGGATTATACTTTTCCCCAAACAATATCCCATCTAGTGTTTTGGTCAGTAACAGACTGATACCAATACTGAATATGGGATCTGTGCATCACTATCTATGACTATGGGTTAACCAATCCAGAAGATGTTGTTTCATTTTTCCATCAGTGTGCAGTGTTACTTTATTTTCATTAGTTATTATTGATAAAACGCTAAACTAGTTTAATTGTGTTTTGAATCTTAGAACAGCAGTAGTTCTGCTTGAAGATCATACGTACTCCTTCTACCTCTAATAATTATGGGATTGCTGTATTGATGTCATACTTGGGTTGGGCTGCAGCAGGACCTCAGTCTGTCTGTAGATTTTCTCAGTCCAGTTTTTGGTGCAGTCTGCGCGGCTCATCAGGTTCTCAAAGTGAGCATCCAGCTCAGTCTTCTCCGCCTGGCCCAGCTTCTCCTCTGTGAACTGAGGCAGAGCACTCACACACAGCGCACACACAGTCTCAGGGGTGAACTAGTGAATCACAATTCCGGGGTTTTAATCCATTAGTAAAAAATCAGAATCAGAATCAGAAATACTTTAATAATCCCAGGGGGAAATTATTTAGCCTATACTCTGTTTCATTTATTATGCTTAGATTTGCATATTTGTCTCCAGCTGATACGATAACCAATTTGACATTTTTGTATTTTAAAAAGAAGTTCACAAACTGTATAATAAGGCTAAGATGTAATCAAAATGGATGATTTAATATTCCATAGCTCTGACCTAATCAAATCTAACTGACATCACTGTTGTTAAGACAACAAAAACAAACAATTCTGTTTCTTCATCCATTTATTTTTCATAGAATATAAACCTAACATAAATAATTCTTATTATTAACTGATCATTTACTGGCTGTGATTGACTTATTGGAATAATACATACTAATATACATTTTCCCATTGCTGGCCCTGATAATTATCGTGCATCCCTACTATTTATTTAACTGTCTGTGTAAATGTTTCATTTCTCTTATATAGTGTCTGTCCATTCAACATTGCGTTCCAATGTTAGAATTGTGATTACTGACTGCCTTACAGTTTGTAAAGTACAGACATTAAAGGGCAGATTGTTGGTTGTAGGTATGCTCACAAAAAGTAAAGATGGAACAACCAAAAAAAACGTAACGGCACGACGTCATGAGGGGTCCGGGCTCTCCTGACAGGCTGTCGTTCCCGTCCCCTCTCTCCCTTAAAACTTATCCAAATGAAGTAAAGTTAGCTCTTACAATGAAGTCCATAATTAATTTATACTAGCAGCGGCTGCTGCGCTAGCTTTCCCCCGAGACACTACAACAATGCCAATAATACATTTAAACAGCACTGTTTAATAACAGCGTAGGCCTGAACTATAGCCAAAACGTAGCCGAATATAAAGTAACGTTACATGCTTTCTGTGCTATTGTGTAGCGCTACGTTAGCTTGGCTATGCAATACTGCGAAGTCAGATATTGTACCGTAACGTAAGTCAGTAACGTTAGTAACAGCTGGCTGTCAAAATGAAAGGAAGAATCAGCTGGACCGCAGCAATGTGCACGAGCTAAACACTAGTTACCTGGACAGCGCGTGTGAAAAACAGTCCGGCTCCGGAGGCTATTTTTTTCACGTTGAAATCCATTGTACCTGTATCTGCAGCTAGCTACTGATGTTTCACTCGAAGCAGACTACCCGACACCAGCGGCTGGATGTTATGGCACAAGCCAAAAAAATCACGTGACCACCGCGAGGCCTCATTACGTCAAACACGTAAGTTATCAACCTTCCAAATATTTAAAAACAAGCATCCGACTCACTTTAACAATGGCCACTTTCTAACTTAAGAATAGTAATATTAATATAGCGACGTGTTAATGATAACAGCAGTGACCTGGGAAACTGTTTCATTAAGGTCTATTCTATTTACTAATTAATGTAAACCAACGCTTGGCCAGCAGATGCCATCATTGGTACTACCTTCTACTTGTTTTGCAGTGGTTCCTGAATATACCCTGGCGCACAGTGGTGACGCAACGACGCATAGACTCGTCGAGTCGGGGCTGGCTCACATGTGAGTTTTGTTGATAATTATTTGTTCTATGGCTGTGTATTACTAAAGAAAAGTTTATTTGACTTTGGACATTTTATTCACTCGTTGAATATCTCGTTAATCACTAGCACTGCGTGAGACTGCAGCGACTTCATTATAGCTTGTTAGCTAACTACCAAACAGATTATTTTGTTAGCTCGGATAGCTCAGTGAAATCTAGCTAGATAGTGCTGCTTAAGGTCTCACGTCAAAACGCCGCTCCATAGACTGATCTAAGTTTACTTTTGCTTTCCAGCCGTTGCACCTGCAAAGTGACGTTATGCAGAGCAGGTGGTCATGGCTTGGAAGACGAGGACCCGCAATTTACAGGTGTTTGACACGGAGCTGAGTGCCGACACGGTAGAGTGGTGTCCGGTTTTATCGAGCCACGACATCCTGGCATGCGGGACATATCAGCTACAGAAAGGGGTGAGATTACATACGGTCCCGGTACATCCCGTTACCTGTCTTAGTATGGGCACAACCTCACACTAACCGATTCCACATCCTCTATAGGAATCATAATCCTCCTTTGGCTGTTTATTTAAAGGGATTAACACATTAAAGCTGCAGCAGGTATCGTTTATGAAAATAACTGTTTGTTATATTTGCTGAAACTTTGACTGTATCCTGACTGTACATGAGACAGATAATCTGTGAAACGATCTGGTTCCTCTGGCTCCTGAATGAAAACATCCAAGTCGTATTGGGTTGGAGGATTGAAGGGTCCCAAAGCGTCTGTATTTGACACCCTGGTAATGAGATGCAACAATCAAATGTCTTTCTCGGCTCTGATTGGTTGTTTTTGTTCAGGCCCGGTGAATTCTTTAGGAGGGCCAGAACAAGGCAGAGGAACTGATTTCTTTTCACAGATTATCTGTCTCATGTACTATTGTCAGGATACAGTGAAAGTTTGAGCAAATATGACAAATATTGTTTTTTTAAAAGACCTATTGCAGCTTTAATGAAGGTTGATATAATAATTCAATCATTTTATGCTGAAATGGGCCACTCTGCACTTTTACTTTTGGTACTTTACTTATATTTTCACTTCACATTTTGAATACGGGACTTTTGCTTGTAAGATTATTTTTTACATTGTGCTATTACTAATTTTACTTAAAGCCTATGTTTAAGTGCCACAAAAGATAACTTTTAAACATTATCTTATACTGAGAGGTGACTGCATCAGAGCCAGAGTAATCGTCTATCCCTAATCCCTAAATGCAGTGGCCGATAGCTCCTTAAAACAGCTCCTTCTTTTTTTATCTGTATTTTTTTATTGCTGAAAACGTGAATGATGTCTAATTGGATTTGCCATTTAAGGGCTAACTAAAATTGTATAAATCAACTGGATCATGACATTTTGTTTTCTGTTGTGCCCACATCTTTACAGAGTGACCGGAGGAAGAAGACTCTAAATACATTTCCTTGATCCTTGAATTGTGATGTTCATCGCAATCCAAAAGAAAAAACACGATTTAATTACAGCCTAAGCAGCTCTAGCAGGTACCTCCTGCTGGTGTCTGACAGTTGACTGATGTATGCCCCTTTCACATTCCTCCTATAGGCAGGGGAAGAGTCTGCTGCCCCGAGCCGGACCGGTCGTTTGTACCTCTTTGAATTTCGGCGAGAGGGATTGATGAGCCCTCCTCTAACTGAGCTTCAGCGCACAGACACAGCGGCCATTTTAGACTTGAAATGGTAAGAAATCCGGTCCGAACATTGTGTGGCCATCGATGTGGCCATCTCTTTCCTTCTTGGTGATTCATGTGCTTGTCCTCAGGTGCCACGTGCCGGTGTCAGGGCAGGCAGTTCTAGGAGTGGCAGCTGCCACCGGAGAGCTGCAACTGTACACACTGTCAGACAGTCAGGTGAGAAATGTGGCATCAGAAGATTCACAGCCAGGGACTTATATTGTTAGACATTAAGCTAATGTTTGTGTACAGAATCATACAGAGCCCCCCTGGTGACATTGGATAAAAAAAAAATAATGCATGGCCACGCATTACTATCTCGTGGCCACGAGATAATTCACCTTCAGTAGCGGGATGGTTATCCATATGGAGCTGTCAGTGATGCTGTTTATTATTCATGAATAAATGTAATATAGTCTGCTTTTGTATCAACGAGTACTTTGTCTATTACTTGCATGGTGGGTGTAATGTAGTAATAATGCTATGACGGGGCTGGAGGAGCTTACGTCTAAGACAGCGCGCACATGTCACTGTTGGTAATCGCTAAATGCAGTTCCTCCAGAAAACGGGATTATGTCGATCGCATTAATTCAACGCATAATCCAGCGTCGACAATTTATGCGCGGCCGATTTTTTCAAAGACGCCGCACGTTAAATCGACCGATTTCCGCGCGAAATATGCGGGGCTTGTGCATGATTTAAATCCCTGATTTTCGTTGCAAAAAAGTCACATCATGTCTCCCGCAGAAAGTTGAATAACATGTTGCGTTTACTTCACACACGAGAGCAGCGCCATGTTTTGCTCCCTTTGCCATGGGCACGTTATGAAGTGAAGTCGGCGGACCGCAGCTCGCAACCCCCCGGCGAGAAGTAAGACATGATTAGAATCCCGCAAATCAGTCCCATTTGTGTGTGTTGTGTTGCGTAAATTCATCTTCATAATAAAATAAAATGGAAATTCAATTCAAACACTTGTCCATGTTAACAATCAACAGTCTCAGCGTTGCCTGAATAAAATGACTAATTTCTCTAAGTTTGAACATTCTTGGACACATTTTTGAGCTAATATTCCCAAGTTTTCAAGTTGAAAACCACTGCCTTAAATAGTGTTTGACCACACACAGCCCCTTCAGTCTGTTTAAAGAGGAGGACAGTTAATGTGCGAAGGGAAGTGAACCAAGACACATCATTTATTCAGCAGACCGAAATGTTTAATGTCTGCCTGTTTCACTGTTGATGTCAACTGATGCACCGGGCAGCGTGTTTACTCTGCTCCACCTGTCATTATGTATGTAAGACTCGGTGTGACTCATGATCCTGTGTATCCAGTAGGAAGGCGGCCGCAGTCTGCAGATTCTGAGCAGTTTTGAAGTGGGAGTGGATCGCCTGGCTCTGTCATTAGACTGGTCCACTGGAAGAATGGACAGGTAACAGCCACAGCACCTGCACCTTTATAACAACAGCTGATTTCCGGTTTTATATAAAAAACACTGATATTAACAGAGTGGGCTACTTTTTGTTTAGCTGCATCCCAATCTAATTGTAGATACATATTAAGTCTGATAAATATCGTTTGATTTATTTTTAACTCCTATGCAAAAAGTTTGAAGTCTGTGATAAAAGCCTAGTAAAAGCTTACATCTGTCCATATGTGTTGCATTATGTGTGTATATATATACTGTAGTTATATACACATGTAAAACCCTTTCCTAAATATAAAAAAGTACTACTTTCATGACAAATAGAGCTGTCACCATGACAGTTTGTTGGAGCCAGTGGAGGTTACATACTGCAAGTTGAGTTGCTCTCATTGACTGTGCAGTTTTGACTCATCCATAGCAGCAAACAATAGCGGCTCATCTGTTCCCACGCATTCTCGTATAACAGAAACTGTACACTAAAAAAAGACTTTAAGTGAGAAATGGGCAACGCTGTCATCTATTTTACTCTAAATGGGA